CCCTGCCCCCCCTACCCTCCCGGGCCGCTCGCGCCCTTCTTCCCTCGCTTATGGAACACGATCCCGCGAACGTTAACATCCCGCTCGATAGCAGAGCCGAACGGGGAGCAGCAGGATCGTTGGAAGACCGGGGCGGCTTCAAGGCTGGCCTCGCGACGCGAATCGCGCGGCGGACTTTTTCACCGCTGGTAACACGATTGTCGTTTAGCCGACGATATTGGACACAGTGTTGGATTCGTTTACGACGACGAGGACGACGAGGACGGTCCGCGAGAAGTCGCGGCACGATCACCCAATAATTGATCCATTTGCTCGGCCGTCCGGTTCTTTTTTCCCTCCCCGAGGCTTTATGGACCCTCGGCTTTAACGAGGCCTCGGGAAGCCGATCGGAATCGGCTTTTTGCCGGGCCCTCAAATTGCAGTGTATAAAATTCAGACGCCGGGACGCGTGTAACATTATACGCATCCCGCGCGCTTGCCGGGAATGATCATCTTTTACGCAGCCTCGGCGGGAGGGGCGCGGGGGACCCCGTCTCGTTTTCCACCTTTTTCGCCAGCTGTTCGCCAGATTTAATCGGAGCCTTTTTCGCGCGCGCCCGCGTAGGACGTGCGTGACACCAGCACGCGGCAGGAACTAGCCGCGGAGAAGAGAAGAGACACGCGCGATTAAATATACACGGGGCCCGCGATGATTTAATGGCCGCCGCTAAACCCCTCCGCGCTTGTTAATGGTCGGCTCTTCCCGGCCGCACGGCCGAGACTTCTTCTTTTTCTTTTCTTTTCTTTTTCCAGCGGACGCGTTTTCTCCGGCACCGTGACAGCGGCGAAGCGCCGGCCGCTCGAATAATTTCCAGGAAAACGACCCCGCGGTCCCCCAATTAACGCGAGCTCCACTACAAGCGGAATCATCGCGGCCCGACGTTTTCTTTCCCCAGCAAACCCGAGAGCTGGCCGGAATTTTTTTCGCCTTTCCGAGCCCGCGGAATTGTCGCGTTCGATGAGATTGCCGGCCGCGGAACAACGAACGCTTTATACTGCTCCCTTGTCTCCCTTGGCCAATAACAAATGAGCTGTTTATTTTGATAGTGGCGTAAGTCACTTTACCGTAATGAAAAGTGGTGATTTTTTAATGTTTATACGAAATACAAGTAAATCTTCTCGAAAGTTAGCATCCATATTTTGAAACGTGTTAAAACGCAAACCCTTAAATATATCGACTTAAAAACAAAGTGACCTATGCCACTTTCAAAATAAACGGCTCAAATAATAAGCGCGGTTTCGTCGGTTTTTATGGGAACGGGGTCGCAAACCGGTCGCTTTTAGTGCTAGCTCTTTCTGCCGCGCCGTGTCTAGATTCATCTCGTTCGCGGTCGTCACGAATGCGTGTTTGGCTGTTAAAGGACCGAAGATTACGTGCATTTACGAACTCGTGTACGTGTTCTTTTTCTTTTTATTTTCTTTTTTTTTTGCGAAACGTTTAGCCGGTTTTCACTCGCCGTAATGATGATAATATTACGATGCGCGGTAGAACATCGGAGTCCTTGAGCCGAACAATTTTCCTATATTCGTACGAATTCACAGAAACTGGAAAGTACGATTATAGCCAGACCCGCGGATTATTAAGCGCGACCACATTTGTGTGTACTAGTTGCCAGCTGAAGAAGCTACGTTGCTGTTTAGTTCGTTTATCGAGCGATTCTGCCAGTTGAAAATAATGCGACAGCGTGCGTTCTCATTTTTTTAAATGTTTCGACTGTGTTTCGCATTTAATTTAATCTTCTTTGCCACGAGTGCGAGAAATCAGCAGTCTAGATTATAGTTGTCGCTATTCCACGTCTTTCACATTCTGAAAATTCTACAATAGTACAATTGATTTCATTCGTTTCTCTATATCACTGGAAAAAAATTAGTCTCCGAATCTGGCGACAGTCCTTGATTCCAAAAATCACGTTCTAAAGGCTGACGGTATATTAATCGCGGTTTTCGTCGTCTTATGGTAAATCAAACGAATCGAAACGGTCTCTAATAAATTGAAAATGTCAAGAAATAAACGTCAGCAACGTCATTAAATAGCCGACAGTGTTAACTCAAGTAACGAAGCGTCTTCTCGATGTTCGAAAGAGTATCTAAGCCTCTCTTAACACAGTCGTTAATGAACAAAATTCGCGGTTAAACAATTGCAACATACAGCACCGTGTTCGAGCAGTTGAGGCGGGACAAGAGTCCGAATAAAACCGATTATTTCGAGTTATCGAACGGCGACGTAACCGCTAAAGAGAGAGAGCGGCGGCTCGAGAGGCGTTCCGCTTCCCTGGCATTGAACTCACCGAGTTCTATCGCGGCTCGGCGACGAGACGCGACGGCCACCTGTTCGCGCGGCGGATTCGCTTTTCGCTTTTAAGCGTTTCGATTTTTACCGCGAATCTCCTATCGAACGTATTCGTGTAACAACCAGTTCGGAAGCTCGATGAGCAACGTCGACGCGTTCAGAACGGACGGCAAGTTTCCGAAACGAATCGATCGCGCACGATCGTCGCGCGAAGCGGCCGCTGTTTTTTCTTCCATCGTACGAAATTGAAAGGAACGGTCTCTCTCATCAATTACAAGATCGATTTATATATAGGATCGATTTGTGCAATCGTTACGCAATTATGCAGAGATCGAATCAAACGCGAAACCGACGAAACATTCGACAAATTTAACGCTGCCGCGTTATTTTCAGCTCGCCGAAGCGACCGATAAAGGAAACAAATAAAGCAAATGAACAGCTACGCGGCTTCTTTATCATCGGATTTATGCGATCGTTCGCGATCTTTTCGAACAACGTCCGACCTCAGAAATCGTCGCGCGATTCTCGCGCTTGGATACATGTCGCGTCTCGCTCTAACATTCTTTAGCGACGCATTCTTTTGCCCTAATCTGGATCCGAATATTTTTTCCACAACATGGACAAAATGATCGAAATCGACGCAGCGACCTGCTCGAATTCTTCCGCAACTTCTTCGGCAACAACTTCTCCTGCATTTCCCTGACGCACTGCAGCCACGGATCCGAAAATCCACCGATCAGCTTGCATCGCGCTCTCCCGTTCCGAAATGCCACTTACGCCGATTCTTTCCGATCGATAATGCTCTGGGCAAACGATAAGTAGCACAGGCAGCCTGTAGGTCGACGGACTCTCGAAACACGCGGTACCAGCATGAGTATTCGGCGGGCGTCGTTGCCGAACACGTAAATCGGCTGCCCGCCTCGAATACGAACGATACTTTTCGTCCCGCGCGGCGCGGCGAGCGCTCGCAATTCGAAATATCGCGGTCTGTAGAATCGTTCGCCGACGGACCCATCGATCTGTCTCTCGATCTAGCAGCATCAGACGCGTTCGCGGCGTTCGCAACGAGGCCCAGTTTCGAGCAGAACGAGCCGGGAAACGCGGCTCGGCTTCACGATTACGCGACGTCACGGGCCTTCACCCGTTGCTCAACACGGTTACGGCCCTGACTTTGAACCAAGCTCTCGGCCGACTCGGCTCTCTCTCTCTCTCTCTCTCTCACCGTGGGAATGGCGGCCACGAGGTATGCACCGATCGCCGGAGACCTTTATTCGACCGACTCGCCGTGATCGATCATAATAATCGCGGCTCCGCGTCAGCCGTGCTTTGGCCCCTTATCGATCCACGCTAAGGCCCCGTGACAAATCCTTCGATTTGCCGCGGGATATTCGCGATCGCGTCCTCTCTACGATCCCAGTCACGATTCGTCGGACGCGAGGGACTTTTCCTGGTCCTCGAATTCCGTCGGAATTCATCTCGTGGTTTCGGGCGCCTGGAAAAGTGCGCCGACGAAGTTTGTTGTGGACGAATACGCGTCGCTTAGTTCGCAGAGAACTAATTTGCTTCTGAACTAATCTGGTCGATTAGTTTATAGAGGATTAGCTAGGGCGTTGGGCTTTGCGTCTAGAATTATCATCAGGCTGCGGATCTTTCGGCGAAATTTGGGCGATTGCGAGAGACGGAAACTAAATAGAAATAAATTGTCTGTTTTAGTTGAGTTGAAAATAGCATGAGAATATTGTTAAGTTTCAGTTTTATATTTCAATTCCTCAGTTTTACTAGAAATACATAAAATCTGCAGTTTGACTGTTATGATAGTTCGGCGTGCGGTGCATTCGATGCACTTATCGATTACATCGACTAAATCAAAGTAAATTCTCTCTTTTAGTAAGCTTGCCAAGTTGAAAATAGCATAATAATGTTATTAAATTCGTCTTGCGCGTCTTCACAGTTTTATATTTCAGTTGCTTATTTTTACTAGAAAGACATAAAATCCGCAGTCCGACTGTTATGATAGTTCAGCGTGCGGTGCATTCGATGCAGTTATCGATTGCATCGACTAAATCAAAGTAATTTGTCTCTTCTAGTAAACTCGCCAAATTGCAAATAACATAAGATAATATCATTAAATTCTTCTCGCGTCTTTTGCTTGCGTTTTATACTTCAGTTCCTCATTTTTATCATGAACGCATAAAATCCGATCGTTACGATAAGCGCGCGGCGCACTCGATGCAGTTACCGATCGCATCGATTCAGAACTATGAAAGTACTCGGCTATACCGACATCCCCGCGTATTATTTTAATCGAGCACGATAACCCTGCCGCTGCAACAGAGGTCCCATTATCGAAATCGAGGGACCGCGTACTCTGTGCACTTGCAAATTACCCGGCTACCCCGATGCAGCAATTTCGTAGCCGCGCGCGTCTACCGTCTCACATCATCGGCGAGCAGAAATAATCTTTCGAAGCCGAAGAAGATATCTGGCCGATTCGCCGGCGAAATAACGGGGCCCGTTAACGTAACATCGGTCCGCCGAATTTCGGAATCCCATCGAACGGGGCCAGCACGGGAATCTAAGCTCCGCGCGGATCACTGTTCCGGATCGATCGAGCTCTGAACACTGGGCGGGCCGAATGGGCCCGACGGGAAACACTTTGAAGGCCACGTACCTTGATCCGTAAATCCACTTGGCACCGAACTCAGTCAGCAGTCCCTTGGGTCTCTCACCGGCTGCTCAAATTCACTGGGTTGTCACACGATACCCGCGAACTTGTCCCGCGAACTTCGTCAACTTTTTTCCCCCGTGTCCCCGTGTGAAACTGCGAGGAGATTGATGAAGAGGAGAGACGGTGGACAGAGTGCGGAAATAGAGGGAGCGAGAGAGAGAGAAAGAGAGGACGCCGCGAGAGGGTGTTCACCGATTTGTCGATCACACGCGACGAAACACTTCTCTCTCTCGAGGATTCAGAACGAACCAAAAAAAAAAACTGAATTCCGCTCCTGATGGCTGGGCTGTCGGCACGGCTCTGTCTTCGAGGCGGCGCATCGGGCTGACTTTATAAACCGGGCCGGACGGGTGGTGGTCGTCTCTACATGCCGGTCAAACAAGCCCGCGGATTGGCCGAGCATCAGCAAAACGGACTCGCGGTTGGCTGCTAGATCTAGCGGTACCCGCGGCTCCATCCGAGGGGGATCTCTCGGTTCTTCGAGCCGCGATGTTTCCGCGCGGCGCTCCTTCTCTCTCTTTCTCTCTCTCCTTCTCTCGCTCTCGCTCTCTTTCGCTCCCGCCTCTCTCTCCTTCCACCCGTTTTCTTTCCTCCTTTCTTTCACTCGTTCTCGTTCGCTCTGCTATCCACGCGGGGGCCCTGCCACAGGCTAGTTACTCCGCGTAATTAGGGAACAGTGACATTTTACCGTTTTTTTCTCTTTCTATCTCCGCTTCTTCGCCTCAAATTCTCTGTTCCTCCTCTCTCTCTCTTTCTCTATTTTCCTCTCTCTCTCTTTCTCTATTTTCCTCTATCTCTTTCTTTATTTTCCTCTCTCTCTCCCTTTCTCTCTCTCTTTCTCTATTTTCCTCTATCTCTTTCTTTATTTTCCTCTCTCTCTCCCTTTCTCTCTCTTTCTCTATTCTCCTCTCTCTCTCTTTCTCTATTTTCCTCTTTCTCTCTTTCTCTATTTTCCTCTCTCTCTCTTTCTCTATTTTTCTCTCTCTCTC